TTCTTGGTGAAGGTATCTAACTCCTCCTTCGTCTCGGGAGACATCTCCCTCCACCAAGTCTCGTCGTCCTCGTCCAGGGTATATCCCTTCCAATCCTCCGTGAAGGCAAGGATCCTCCCCCCTGCCTCCAGAGGGGAAAGGCCCCGCCACTCTTCATAGAGGCGGACGCACACTCCCTCCGGCTGCCGGATGACACGCTCCTCGAACGCTGTCATCCAGTCAGCCCATCCTTCGTCTTCATCCACGGGGGGGCCGGAGCAGCCTCCTTCCTACCAGCCTTGACTGTCTTCCCCCCGCCGCATCTTCCCCGTCCTTCTTCCTCTTACCAGAGGTCGAAGGAAGGGGATCTCCCTTAGGTAACTCTTTTTGTTGATTGTTAACCTCCATTTTAGTCCATCCCATTACTGTCACGGCTGCTCCGGTCAGGGCGTGCCCTCCTCCCCCATCTCTGGGAGAGGCCCCGAGTTCCCTCGGGGGACCGGAATATGACTCTGGCTGGGGGATAGGCATCCCCAGCACGGGTCTCCTGCCCCTTACCTCCGAGGAGGTTTTCAGGGGTCCCGGGCCTCCGATAACCCGGGCACCGTGACAGTGCCGCCACGCAGGGGGCCCCGCGGACGGTTGGGGCGTCGGGAGAGGCTCGACCTCCCTTCGCCTTACTCGCCGCGGCGACCAGCATGCTTACTTCCTCCGCCGGGGGGTAATTCCCGCTAGTACGCGTGAGCCATCACGAGAGCCCCCCGGCACGGGGGCGCGTCGGGCCCCGCCTCAGAATAAGTCCGAGCGGCCCCAACGGCCCCCTCGTCCGAGCAGACTGCCAGCTCCTCCGAGAAATTACTCGGAGGCAGTGATGCCAGCCGGGAACGTTTACCCGCATGCTGCCGCGATGGTGGGGGTTGGAGAGAGGATAGTCCGTCTGGCCACGCGTGCGCGCGCACGCTTCTACACAAGCAACACGTCGTAAAAACGTGTGCGCTCGACGCTTGGCTACGACGTGTTGCTTGTGTGCGAGCGTGCGCGCGCACACGTGGCCAGACGGACTATCCCCTCTCCAGCCCCCACCATCGCGGCAGCATGCGGGTAAACGTTCCCGGCTGGCATCACTGCTCGGAGGCCCCGACAGTCCCCCGCCACCGGCCCCCGACCTGGGAAACGTCCCAGCGGCTCCGGTGGGTCCCAGGCCACCGAGCCCCGCCTCGGAAACGTCTGAGCGGCCTCGGCAGCCTGTCACCTCGTTAGGACAAGCGGGACCGGCCCCCCATGCCAGGACGCACGTCCCAAAGGGACGTCGCCCCCAGACACAGGGGGTACCGGCCCGCAGCGTCCGTTGTCGGACCCACTGGGCTGTGGGTCCGACCCTCCTATTGCCCGCCCACCCGGTGACCCGTGCCACGCACGGTTGTGCCACCAGGGTCGGGCTCTCTCTCCCGCCACCGAGAAGGACCACGTCCAGCCCAGCGACGGGAGAGCCACCCCCCCCCCGCAACCCTGCCGGAGCACCGGCGTGCAATGGGTTACAGGGGGGTCTTGCGGCACGCTCTTGGTCAGCGGACGCACGGCATAGCCGGAGCCTGAAAGCGGCACTCGACGGTTCACAGCCGTACGCCCGCCTTAAGCCTCCCCACCACGACAAGGTGGCGCGCCTCGGGGAGGAGATTGGCCTTCTGCACGAACATCGTTGTGACTGTCACCGCAGTGTCCGTTCTGACGGATTCTGTCGGCAGCTTTCCCAATACTGTCCAACCTAAATGTGTTTCTATAGCCGTTAATCCGTTCTTTAAATTATACTTCCTACCTGTTAATAATTTGCCGGCCACATCCGCACCTATAAGAATATCTATAGGACAGTTACCGCCTCCTACATCTGTGAGGATAATATTGTTGGCTCGCAACTCTTCTGTCCACGCACCTCTCTTAATATTCGCAATCGGGCCACAGATAACCTCCTGATCCATTGCTGTGAAATTACACGCGTACGAATTATTCAAGTTCTTAACACGTATCTTAAACATATTATGAGTTTCACGTCCCGATCTAATTCCACCGAATAGAGAATGCGTTACTTCTAATCTGTCAATGGAAACGTAACCTAAATCTTGCGCGGTCTTAGTACTGACATATGACCGTTGCGAGGCCGTATCAATAATCGCTCTGACTACTTTTTCTCGCGATTGAGAATATACTTTTACCCGTAAAGTTTGCAAACAAACTTCATGTGTCTCGCAGGACGACGCTAGGTTATGTTCGCCGGCTGTCTTCTCGTCTTTGTTCGGTTTATTTACAGACCCGCTCTCCTTCCGAAATATATCCGGGCACATCAACAGAGCGTGTCGTTTCGAGCACCAATCACATTTCGTTTTAACCCTACATTTCTGTGAGACATGTCCGCATTTCAAACAGCTAAAGCAGCAGCCCTCTCTCTTAACAATTTCCTTACGGTCATCTAACGTTAACTTACGCGCGGATTCACAACCCTGACTCTCGTGGCTCGACTTACAGAAAATGCAATCCGGCTTCTTTTCTTTTGATACAAAAAGAACGCTCGCGCTGGCTGTTTCCGTCAACGATTCTGTTTTACCCTTCGGTTTCTTCGATATCTTCCCCTGTTCCGTCGGTAATCCAAAACCTGTTAACGCGAGGTCGATGCGCTCTTCATTTTCCACTTCCAATTGTAGGAATTCGAGAAGCTTCGACTGTCGATCCGTAGTCGCGTGTTCTTCTCTTGTTTCCCGCTGTCCTCCACTGCGTTGCCAGGATCGAAGGACCTCTTCCGGAAGAGACGATTCCACAAGCGGATAAAGCATGGCGGCGCACCTATCTGTCGTCACACCCAGTGTTTCTAAAGCACGAATGTAGCACTCGACTTTGTCGTATATGCTCGCGAGGGAGGGTTTCTTATTCCCTCTCGCGGCATTCTGTAGTACGAGCCCCAGCAACTCACGAACGTAAAGCTCAACTATAATATCGTCTCGTCCGAAACGATTCTTCAAGCTCGTGATTGCCTTCTCGTAATTTTCTCCAGTAGGCGGGAAGCTTCTCACGATCTCGCTCGCGCGCGAGTCCACCACCATTGCTTGCTGTAGATATTGTATCTTGTCTTCCTTACTGTATGGGATTGCAAAGGATGGAAGGAGCGAGCAATGGTTTACTCTCATATGCAATTGACTCTCAAACGTTTAATTGTAATTGCCATTCACAAAGCGAGAGTACACCCGACAATTTTCAGGCAAGCGAGGCCGTTTATGCCCAGTTAGGCGTATCGCGTATGAAATACGCGGAAAGTATCGCACACGCAGATCGCGGAAGAAGTCCGAAAAAAATACCGCAACGCGAGCGAAAGGCAAAGAGCGCGTAGAGAGCGACTAATAACACTATCCCGCGCGACGCGACAAACACCATTCGGATGATTACTTTGAGATCGTCACTCAATCCTCGAAGGCGCTTGTCGCCAGAAGTACAGATTTCTAATCGAGACTCACAAGAACGAGAGAGCGGCGGGCTCGCCGGACCGGGATTTTATACCGTCCCTCTCTTCCCTGATCTCTCGAACTTGAGAGTCGAAAAATAAAAGCAGTACAAATAATTTCAAATGAAACCGATCGTCCGGACGCCTCGAGAGACAAACAGTCGGCGTTCGCACAGCGTTAGCGGGCAATCAGCCGTTTTCAAAGAAACTGACTCGCTATTCCTCGAATGCTTCTGTTTCACTTAGGTAGACGACAACAATAGAGAAGCGAAGCGAATATTTGGATAAGACGCTCTCAAGGTGTACGGACAATAGAGCCATCAGCCGATCGGACAAACATCGAGATTCTCGTTTGCTCGGAGACGGTGTATAATATTTAGTTCGAGGCGATCTCGAACACTTACTGATCGTCGGATCGTCGTTTATCTTCTTAAATTGGCTCCAAAAGGGCAGCCATTCCTTGATATTACCGCTGAATTTCGGTATGTAATTCTAATTTGGGAAGCTTCGAAGTCTTGGTAACGTTCGTCGAGATGGTTCTCGTCGTTCCTTCCGATGTTGTCGGCGTCCCCGACGTTACTCTCATCTTCGCCATCAGATATTGTTTCTTATACGAATCGTTCGACTCTAGTTCCTTGTCAATCTCGGCCTCGTCTGCGACCGATTGGAAAAGCGCTTGGTTGTATGCGGAATGTACGCTATCCAGTTCGGTGATTTTTGTTTCCACAAACTGGAAGGCAGGTTTTGCAAGATTATTGGCTCCAGGCTGCCTCTAACACGACAAACTCGGCGTCGGAGGTGTTTTAGAGTCTGTATGTACTGAGAAGAATTTACCGTCTTGCAACATGACAACGCTCGTCCACACACCTCGCGCGCAACTGCAGAGGCTCTGCGTTTGGAGACATGCATGAAGTTTGAACAGATTCCACACCCTCCTTACTCCCCCGATCTTGCGCCTTGTGATTTTTATTTTTTTCCTCTACTCAAGAGAGACCTCAAGGGTAATCAGTACACCTCGGGCGATGAGGTGAAGGCAGCTGTCAAGTCCTGGTTTCGAGAAATTTTAAAGAGAAAAGTCGGAAGAATTTTTCAGTGACGGAATGGAAAAACTTGTTACACGTTGGGAGAAATGTGTTAGCCTTAACGGTGACTATGTTGAAAAATAAATATATGATTTTGAAGCTTGAGAATTGTACTTTAATGTACTTTTTGCTCGATCTCGCTATTTGTTTTTGTTCGTGTTCTACAAGCATGTGTGTATTACTTTTCAGCCTACCCACGTATATGGTAAGGCATCAGTGATGCCTAGTGTACGAACAATAAAACTTAAGAATGTAACATACCTGCGAGTAAAAACATTTTCTCCATATTTACAAAGTATTGAATGTGTGTATCGATATACATATTGTAACATGTGTCATGATTATAACATTCTTCATAATTACGAAGTCCAATATGATAGATAGTTATATGTATGGCAGCTTATTCATTATGTTTCGTATTCAGATTGGGAACACATTACAAGAGACATGAATAACCAAAAACAGAATTCATGATTGTTTAATCCTCACGCGTAACTGTACATATGTACGGCGTCTTCGAATAAACTTTACATAAAGAAGCATATCGATTAACATGTATAGCATTTTGCAACGCAAGACGAACGTTACGTCGAAATATGTCGTTGAATCCAGGGTATATATTTGGCCACATCAACATAAACAACGTATTTTTGTGGATCGCATTGCATAGTTTCACCTAGTACAGTTCGTGAAACAATACCACGCAACTCATAACTGCCCGTGATATTATTCAAAAGTATCAGCCCGTTTCCACTGTCACCGTTACAAGGACTAAATCCGTCTAAGTTGCCAGCGCAAAAGGTGTTATCCGACACGAAACTAAAGTATCTAGCATCAGACCAGAGACAGGTACCCTGCAATTTGCCAAACAAATTTGTCTTTAACTCGAGGTCTACAATAACGCTGACAAATACATTTGTCACAGATATATATAATAAATAGCACTTTTATAATAACAATTAACTACTTACGTGACTCACTATCGTCGCCCTCACCATCCGTTGATCGTTGACATCACGACGATTCAACGCATCTTCACCCCATCCTACAACGTATCCTGTCCTACTAATGACGTCTTCAAGTTGAGTTAAACCGGACCATAGACAAATAGGCTTGATAAGAGGATTGAACTCGACGACTTTCTTGAGGGTCAAAACCGCGAGATCGGAAGTAGCTTTGAGATAGTGAGCATAATCGGGATGAATCATGTAGCTTGCGACTTTCCGATTGGCAGATCCATTTCCGCGCAATTCGTACAAGTTAAATCGCCCCATTATCACTTCTAACATATTGGAGTGTAGTGTAGTGTTGTCACTCGAGTGTACTTTCATGCAGTGCCCCGCTGCAAGGAAGACATACATATAAATTATATTTTGTAACAATCCACACTTTTAATTCGGAGACATCCCGTAAGCTTCTTTCGTATTATACACATCATTTAAATATGGGATACACTCGAATTAAATTAAATATCTTAATTTAGTATGACATAAAATAATTGTGTATTCATACAAGAGATTTATAATAAATATTTGCACAATATTAATACAGCGCCCAGATCATCGTTTTTATAAATAACATAAGACATTCTAAACGTAAGTACTGGAGATAATCTCGAGGAAATATTATGCTTAAAACAGAAATGACGTTCTGTGCAGACATATGTTTTTGCACTGTCATCATTAACGGCTCGTCAGTATTGTTTCAAGCCTTTGAAATATTATGCTGTTTATGTAATTATTCCAAACACCTTAATATTCCTTTATTTTGTTTCGATGAATTGTGAATATCTATCGAAAATTAAGAAATCCGTTCTTTTCTTAATATTAATAGAGAAAAATTAAAATTTTACTATAAATACACTGGTCAAAAAAATTAACGCAACAAGAAATTTACATCAAAATTTGGCGAATTTCAAATAAGCGTAACTTCGCGAAAACTGGTCGAATTGAAAAGTTTTTTTTTTCATTTTATAGGGCAAAGTCTCTGCTTTAAGAAGCTCTTATTGGAATTTGCATTCACTCTTCCCATTTCCCGGAACATTCTCAAAATCATGACCATGTTTCTTCTCTAAAAAATTGCACACTTTGACGCACTGTGCGGAGTGTAGTAATTTTTCTTCGCCAGTTCTGCTTACGGCATCAAAAAGTGTATACTTTTCTCTTCAATTTAAAAAAAAAAAGAAGTTCCTACGATTTTTTTTCGCCAAATCACAGCTCATTAAAATAACCCTTGTGTTTTCGACATTACCGACGATATCTCCGTTAAAAATCATCGTAGCAAGA